TACCAAATTGGAGCTTGACTAGCTCAGGTGTCCAATGGAAAGATCTCTAATAACAGTTTCCAATAACGTTCAAACAAAAATCGTTCGTAGAGCGCGCTTTATTGGAATGATGATTTGCTCTATATCGTTTAAACTTTTCAGAAATGCACTTTTCTAGCGCGTTTTAGTATTCGTTTACTTGGACTCTTGTAAAGAATACTTCCTTTTTTAAAAAAATATTTCTAGGGTATCTACATTTTTATCACTGCTCATGCTATCAGTGAATGTTGCGCTACAGTGTTGAATGTTGAATCACAACTCCGAGTACCTTAAAATAATCTTTCATTATTTGAGTTTCTGCTTTTAATACGATGTCGACTGGTGGAAGAGCGCGAATACTGCAGAAACACGCGGACGGCGCGAGCCGAGCAGGGTCTAGTGCGAGCGGTCTGGGGATGAAAAGCCCATTAAAGGAAAAGCTCGGACACCCAAGGGTAGCTTAGCTCGCCGAATTTTTTTCTGCCTCAATTTTCAGGAGCCGGTTTAATGGCCAGCGCAGGCGAAATAAAATTTACATCTTAACAATTAAAAACTTTGGGAGAGTTAGGGAGAACTCGAAACAGATGTGGGAAAAAAATTGGTTGTTCATTCCTGTTCCTCCATAGTTAGTAACTATGGTTCTTCCAAAACTTCCACATGTGTTCCTATTTTACAATTACATTACGAGCCCGAGTTCCTACAAGAAATGGTAGCTGGTTCTATGAATCTTCGTTCATAATTCAACAAGTCCCCCACTGAAGGTATAAATTATGCAACACGTGCCTAGCGCGGGAAAACGCGCGAGAGCCAGTTTACTATTGCTTCTGATTGGATGAAATAAAAGCACCTTCTCTTCACTTTCTGCGTTAGGATCCAGAGGCCATCAGGTCGGCGCATATCCCAAGTTTCTGTATCATGAAGTGATTAAGAGTATTTCCCCACCCCACCCTGGATGGGATACGAGTCCTCTAAAGGCTTACCCAAAGCATTAAATTTGCTGCTAAAATACATACAAATTAATTTATTAAGTTATGAACAATACACAATCAAAGATACCAGGCAAAGATATGAGCTATAATTCTTTGTAACAATTTGAGACTGAATACGAATTTCTTTACAACTTCAACCCTAAACATTGTAACAGAAACGCTTGATTTTACACCGGAACATTAGAAGTTGCAGTAACAACTTAATCGAAGGTAATTTGACTACAGAAAATGTCGACTTAACTTCTCTTGAATTAGATCAAAACGAGAATTCTAAATACAGTAACCTTGTAATGTAACTCACAAACTCAATCCCGGAATGCCCAGTGGCACATAGGGCCTAACCTTGCGATGTAAAACACACTACTTTGATATCACGAAGGATTTCATGATCAATAATTTCAACAAAAACGGCCGAACAGTAGAGCTAGAAAAACATCTAAGTTCTTTGCTTGCACTGCTAACATGATAGAGTCCCTTAAGACAAATAAACTGAAAGTTTCAGATTGTTAGAAGTCAATATGAATATATACAGAATGTGCCTCGTTGTCTTCGCTGCACAACACTAGTTACTGATGGCGTAGTTTGGATTGTACGCTTTCATGTGCTGTCTGAAGAGCGTCCTCTTATCAAGCCTGACAGGGTGCTCTGAGTCACGGTTGTTCGCAGATTACTCTTTAAGTGATCCTCTCTCATACTTTGCTGTTGACGGAGACAAAGTGAGAATCAAGTCCAGTAAAATAAGACAGCCCCTGACGTCATCTAGCCTTGAAGCAAGAAGGTTGGTAAACACCTTATTGGGTTGATAATCTTCTGCCTTAGTAGACTTACGCAGGGCAGACTACTGAGTAATAACGCTTGGCTTCTCTGCTTCTATGAGATAATAACTGAAATATGCAAATCTAACAAATATACCCCTCCCCTCCCAACCACACACAGTGTTGGTTTGTTTTACTCATCCATGTCACCCATGTTTGCTGAAGCTAAACGATATTGATGATCGGGGAGGGATAGGGGTAGGAAGGAAGTATAAGATTTGTTTCGAGAATAGAGTGACATCCACGTCTTCACAGCAATGTCCCAAAAACCTTCTTTTCCATTTTCTGATTCTCCGTCCCCTCCCCCCAAAAAACATACTTGAATTTTCTCAAGCTTTCAGGGCAT